TTAGGTCGGAGGCCATGGCTCTTGGGCCTTTGCTAGTAGGTTGGAGGTGTCCGGAGATCCACCAAGATGTCGTTGAAGTTCAAGCCGAATCGAGGTGGTCCTGTTGATTATTTTGCTCTTCTACGAAGTGGACCTGGACGTGCAGAAATGGGCTTTTTGTGCTGCTTGGGGCTTGGGTCCACCGGAATCATCAGCAACACTTACCTTCATTTCCTCCAAACATAGGCCTCTTCAAGGAGGAAAAAGTTTGTCTTTTACATCCCTACATTTGTTTTAGCATTTTACCAGGTTCCACAACCAAGAAGAATGATAGAAAGGAAATGGGTCAACACCATGAGAGTCTTTTGCCACAAACTCTCCTGATCGCAGGTAATGGCCCGCTGCTTTGTGCAATAGCTGTGCTGGGGAATAGCCTCTTGTTTCATGACTTTGACAATGCTTCCTCTGTGCTCATTCATTTGCGACTCGGCATGGAGAGGTCTCATGCAATACATATGAGTTCACCATAGTTCACCATTCACATTTCGTGCTAGACCCACCATGAATGGCGTGGTGACCTAGTAGTTGGCCCACACACGGGGATATAGGGTTGTACATTTGCAAAGTCCAAGACCAAGGTTTCCGTCCTTGGTGATGTATGAGATGGGCTGGAACCGTGAGGCCGTACAGGAGGCCTTCCCAAGTATCTTTACGCGTCTTGGCTTTGTTTGCTCTTGGAACTTTCAACTTTAACTTTACGGTCTGGCAACAAGATAGTAGGTACGCTAGTAGGTTGGAGGCCATAGCTAGTAGGTTGGAGGCTATCTATCGCTAGCAGGTTGGAGGCTATCGCTGGTATGTTGGAGCCATTGCTCTTAGGTTGGAGGCCATTGCTCTTAGGTTGGAGGCCTTGGCTAGTATACTGTGTACAAGTCTGGCAAGAGCCGTGTTCTGTTTTTTTTGCTACACGTGCCGTGGCTGTGCTGTTTTGACAGCTGGCAAGGTACCACTTTTTCAATGACATCCACTTGTGGCGCCTTGCTGGATTACTGACAGACTTGCTGTGGTGGGTGGGAGATGGCTCCAAGGACAAGATACGTTGAATCCTGGATCTCCTGCAAAGAAATTGAGATCAAGCACCTCATTCACATACACTTGGTTCATATAGAGGTGGCAGTTTCATGGTGTTTCACCCCTGTGCAGGATTGTTAGGGGCGTGTATGCTGCATGCTCAAGGTGTATAGCCTTTGTCCACAGGATGCATAGACTAGATTCAATGTATATATTGTATAGTTAAATGATGTGTGTATATATATATATATATATGTAATGCTTATATTGGTCATGAGTCACCAGTTCAAACCCTCCTGCAACCAGGAAAGTCGCTTGGGCTTCGGCCTACTCCGCTCCAGGCACGACATTTACAACAATGCAGCGATGAGCTACTTTGCCTGGCTGTTGCCATATGCTGGTTGGCTTTTGACCTGTGGGATGAGTGCTCCTTCATGTGGCTATGCAACTTGTTCCATGTGGAGTGAGGGTTAGTTTCGCCTTTGACATACCAAGCTGATTGACACATCTTTGCAATTGCCTGATATTTGTGGGAGTCTTCCCGAACAAGCCATTTGGATCTGCTGGTTTCTCTTGGTGGCACAGGGCACACTTTGCTTTCATAACTCCTGGGCAGTTTGGAACATTGTGGGGACCCCCCCAAGGGCAACCTGTTCATCTGACGGCCAAGGACACAATCTTCCACTTCACCATGCGCGGCGCCGGGGGTCATGTGACATCCAAGATCTTGAGGGTTCCACCAGAGGCGATTTTGGTATCGATTTGGTGTCGTTTTGTATGTCGAAGTTTGTCGTTTCATGTTCTTGCGGCGCCTCCATTCCAGCCCTGGAATCGAGGCATGCTTTAAATATGAGCGTGTGGGGTTTGGTCTACTAGTCATTCTGGGGATGCCGGAAAATGCGGAGAAGGGACCTCTGAACAAGCCTTTCATGCCTTCTCCAAAGACACATCTGGGTTTCTGGCGTTCTTTTCCTTTCCAGACCGAGAGCAATGACCTCATGACCTTTGTGCAGGAACACAAAGAGCTGGTGAGAGCAAATTCCTTCCCTCGATCCTATGCTCTTGTCTACCTCACGATCCATGCTATTTTGGCGGCTCAGCTGAGGGATGCCCCAAGATCTGTAGAAAAGGCTACAAGAAAGAAACAATTGAATCCTCAAACTGGAGAGAACACAAATGCTACTAAGATGTTTGTTAAATTGCCTATGCACCATGCTCGCACACATGCTCGTCCTGTGAGGTCTTGCTCTCCATTCCAGTGGCATTGCTTTGCTGCTTGTTAGTCGGTCAGAGCTATATACTGTATCCCTAAGTAGATGGAGCAGGGGATGCTTCGAGACACAGGAATGCAATGAAACATTCCATGCTTCTGAGCTTCTTCTTCCATTTAATGATATCGTTGGTTCTAGATGCTCCAATCTTGCTCCTATGTGTTTATTCTAGATGCTCCAATATTTTTCTGTCAATTTGTTTAGAAAGACGCTGCGCACAAACATACTCATGTACAGATGTGGGGAGACTCTATTTGACCCAGTGCTCGTGCTTGTGTTTGAGGTTATGCAGACAAGAAGATTCACATTTGTCTTTGTGGCTCCATGGTGCTATTGACCATTTACAATGCGTCTTCTCGATACACGATTCTTAATTGCATTTAAGGTGAGTAAGTTCAGGATGAGTGCAATTTGCCATGCTAAATCTCGAAGTCCTACTAGATGCAACGTCTCAAACTACAAAGATGCAAAGGTGTATCGATGATGAAAACATGTAGCTCAAAACATGCAGGTTCTACATGGTCTCAAGCTATGGCCAAGCTCTTCGAAGAGAACTTGGAATTCCTTTGACCCGGGGGGCCTCTGCTATTTTGGAAAGCTGAGAGTCGCCGCACCAAGCCAGGAAGTCGAGAAATTCCTTTAGAGTCGGAGCTTTTCCGGTTCGTCTGAAAGTTTGCAACTGGAACTCAACCTACCAAGTTGTACAGAAACCATTGCCATTGCTTGTCTTCGCATGGCTTTGCGCATTGGCGCATGAGGGCCTTGTGGATCGTTGATTCAAACATCCGGATTGAGTTCCAGGTGTGATTTTGCGGGGAACCTGCTCCAACTCAACATCGATCGGAGGTACTAGACGTTTACCGAGTCCCTTCTGTGCTCGACCGATGCTACAACCTGAATTTTTTTTGACTACTCAGTGACCATAGCAACCGCTTGTCTAATTTCAATATTAAAGTCAGCTTTCAGCCTTTGTATTCTGGTTGACTGGAGCCATGACAGTACAAAGCACACAGGCATAGGCAGCATAGGCACATGTTTCCTGACTTAAGATCCAGAGTTGCTTCGATGCTTTGATTGCCAATTTGTTGATAAATTTATGTTGGGGAACAAAGCCAGCTTGAGTAGTTTCTACACTAAACCTGGGAACAGGACCACCCAAAAATAGATATAGTAGAGGACGGCCTCAAGTTCAGACTCTGATACCTCCAGCACTCAAATCCTTCGGTGTCCATCGTTTTGGAGCGCAAAAGCAGTGCGGCAGTAGTCTGGTTGTCACTGCAGTTGCTCTATTGGGCCCTAGACAGCAAGGGTGTCGGCTCCACGACCGCCGTGAAACCTCTTTTTGGGGAGGGGGATATCTTGTTGGAAACAGCTGTAGTTGCTAGTACTGTAATTGGTTATCTTGTTGAACAAAGGAGTGTGTTTGTTTCTTTTTGTGTTTTCAAAACAATTGAAATCATATGATGAGACAGGTGTGCATCGCGCTTTTTTACTCCCAGCGCCCACGTGCAAGCTCCGCTTGTTTCATGGCTTTGCTTGAACTGTCTAAAGCTTGGGTCCCAGCACGTTGCAACGCTTGTTCTTTTCTCCGCAACACCCTACATCTCGTAGCACTCGATGCTGAAAGCATTGTGCTTTGGTGTAGCACAACCCATTGATAGTCTCGCGGCTGTGGTGGAGCTAAACAAGCTAGTAGACATAGTGATTTAGACTATGTCCTCCACCGATTGATGTTAAATGCCTCGAGGAAGCACAGCCCAGGATGTCATTATATAATACTGTACATTTGCAGTATATATATATATATATTTATGGTTGCTTTCTGCTTGGAGTGCTTGTAGAAATGGGTCTAGCCGTGTATGACTGGTAGGGCCTAAAAAGATTGCTAGAAAAAATAATGACACTTGTGCATTGAACCCGAGTGACAGATGATTTGTTCAGTGTAGGTGGAGAGGACATCCTTGTACATGCTGGAAGGCCACTACGACCTGAAGGCAGGCCCAGTTGCAATCTTAACCATGATCTCATGCAAAGTACCCTGATGCAGCTTTCTCACACGCGCTTTCTATTTTCTTCAAAAATGACTTTGCACCGATATAGTGTTGACAGGTAGAAAAAGAAAAAGGAGTCTTCCAATTCCTGTGTTGGTCCGCCTACGAATCTTTATTCCATCCAGCTCAATGTTGGGGCTTCTGGCTTTTGAATGTTCTTCATTGGCCAAGTCCAAGTTGCTTTCCAAAGGTTTTCCTGTGAGATCTTCAGTATTCACAGTATTCACAAGTATCTTTGGTAGTGCAACTGCCGGGTATTGAGATTTTAGATGCAGAGGAGGGAAGGCCCAAGTTATAAAATCCAGCTATGTCAAACAATGAAAAGGTTTATAGAGCACTAGTGCTTAGTTCAGAACTGGGTGAACCAGCTAGTTGAAACAACCATCAATGAAGATCCACAATTGTGTTAGGACTATTTTGCTTGTTGAGAGCTTAATGCATGATTCAAGACCTCCGAACAAGGCAGCTTGAGTTCTTCTGCGTTGGAAGACCTCCTTGACGAGGCGTGTAGACTCATCGGACACAAACTTTTGACGGAGCTCCAAACCCATCTATTGGGTCAAGCACTCCGATGACAAACTTATTGAAGCCAACTTGCTCAAAAAAGCATGTGAACAAACAATATTGAAGCAGTCAAATTGCATGGAAGGCGCTTTGTCGAACTCTGCAACAGAATCTTGAGAGGGGTTGAGGAGGATTTAACACTTTAAACAGAGTGTTTTCGCTTTTTGCCTTTTTTGCTTTTTGCTACGATGTTCACCGCTTGCTGCCTTTGATTGCAAAAGTCGTTAGGAGACTTCCGGGCGACCTACGGTAGAGCACAAAAAGTCAGACAATCTTCTAGCTACTAGTAGTAATGCCCTTGTTACTAGTAGCTTCTTGCTACTACTAGCGATGCCCTTGTTACTAGTCGCGATGCCCTTGTCTTGCCGACCCAGGATGCCCGCTTGCGGGATACTCGGTCGTGACACTTTTTGAAAGCGAAGTCATTGTGCCTTGGTCGGTCTTGTCGTAAGGTCATGTGTAAAGCTTACAAGTGGTGACAATGCATTATACCAAGTTGGACACGTCATTAATAGGTCAGGGAGCAGTTTGTTCGTCATCAAAGGGCGAGAATGCTTGCTTGGCTCCATATCCTAGCTTGGCTTTCAAGTCGCCTTATCCGGTCCTATTTTGTGATTGGCCAAGGCCCTATGTGAAGTGTCTACCTGTGTCACACTGTGTCCGGCACGGACGTGAAGGCAATGATCACTGGGTTGGACATTGCATGGACACTCGCGCTTGAATGAAGCTATGAAGCTGGCTCAAGAAGCTTCTTTAGATGTGTGTAGCTAAATTTGACTCCTCTGAACTTGAACCCGTAAGCTATTCAATTATGCTCTCAAAGGCCTCACGACTGGAGCACACGTGTCAGAGGCGTCCGCAGCATGAGTACGTTTGGCATCTCAGCAAGAAGCCGAGAGAGACCAACAGAAACTCCCCAAATCCCATCACCTTTTCGAGGAACCGTTTGTTTTGGCAAACCAGACCTTAAGGTGTGAATGTGCTGCCTGACTTCTCATTATCTCGAATGTATTTTCTCCTTTTTGCCGAGGTCTTGGCGCAGCTTCGCGGGTGCTTTGTGGCACCACATGGGCTCCATCTCCAGGCACCCGCGAAGCAATTGCTCACCATATTTCATTCTTGAGTATATATATATATATACTGTATATATATATATTGATGATATTCCAACCTAATAGCGATGGCCTCCATCTGAATAGCGATGGCCTCCGACCTAATTGATGGATGTCCGAAGACATAGACTTGACCATGATCCTCCCTCTGCAGACCTGGGTGGCGGCGCTTCTTGGGCCAAGCACTTGCTCACCATCTCTGCCGTGCCGAGAGAGTTGAGGCCCATATTTTTATATTTAGCCCGCTCCTACTTAATTGAGTAGGCACCTACTTGATCAAGGAGTGAGCTACTAGCCACTTAAGCTCTATATATATATAATACACACATAGGCATAGATACACACGTAAATGTCTCCGCTGCTGTCTGGGCTGTTTTGACGACTGGTATTGAAGGGAGATTCCCAAGCAACCAATAGCACCTCTTGAATGAATCATTGAGAGAACAATGCCAGGTCACCTCTTGGTTTGTCCAAACTTTGTGGCCAGGTCTGTGCCGAGAACGCTGGCTTATGCCCATTGGGATGTCTGTTTGGGCCTCAGCTGTGAAGCTGAACCCGCTTTTCGGGTTCACTTGAATCCTAGGACGGCCCATTTGACTCTGCTCCTTAGCGCGTGGGAGCCTGACACCAACGACTCGATGTGGCAAACTACTTTGAGACCGTGCTTGGCGCAGTGGTAAGGCCCAGATCTTATCGACTTGATGGCCTTTTCACTCCAAACAAAGTGGGATCCTTAGGTAGGATATCCAGCAAGGTCTTTATCCAGCAAGGTCTTTTGACAGCTGTGGTGTCGGCCTGTTGCTGCGTAGTTTCGACGTCCTCTAGCCTCCTCGACTTCGTCAATCCTCACAATGATGCAGAAGGAATGATGGCACTCCATTGCGCGTTTGCTTGTATCGGAGGAACCTGTTATGACATCAACCACTTGTCAAGAATTGTGGGAATTGCACAGGTAGTGGAAACATGTGGAGAAGCTGAACTACCATATACATATATATATATATATACATACACACATACAAAACACACACACACACACACACTGAAACTTTCTTCAAGCCAAGCAAGTGTGGGGAAACAGCAATGACATGCCATAACACAAGCAGCATGAAACTCCAAGAGAGTTACAGTGAACACCGACAGACACCGTCCGTGTCGACAGGCGGACGTGCGAAGTGTCACCGCTGTCGCGGCCGTCGTGAGGTGCCGATGATCTGGGAGCAGCTGGGTGAAAGCCTGAGATAGAGCTCCCTGCTTCGGCCGATAAACACTTTGAATGATAAACACTTCAGCTTGTTACTAGTAAGGCCAGGAGCGACTAGTAGCGTCCTTGCTCCTAGTAGCGATGCTCTTTGTTCCTAGCTTCGTGCTCCTGGAAGTCTGAAAAAGTCTTCTCAAATGGTGACGGTTGAAATCCCGAGGAGTTGGCTTGGGCTACATACTATGGAACCCCACGGGTTTCAAGCCGCTGGACTGCACCACCGGACGATGCAATGGGACAGCGAAGAGGATGCCTTTTTTTGGCACACAGTGCAAGGTCTGACGTGTGTTCCTTTCAGTGTTTTCAGTTAAGGCACAGACATGCATAGACAGCATAGACATATAGCCTTGCATTGCGGTCATGAGGCTTTTGGATGTGCTTTACAGTGGCTGGCCAATCTTTGCGCTCTTACGAGAGCTACGTTGGAAATTGATTAGGCCGAGATGGGAAGCCAATGGGAACGGTCAATACAATTGCAAATGGGAACACTCAAGAGTTGATGCAATTCTGCATGTCAATAAACAGTGAAACGTGCCTCCTTGGGACTTGAAGCATTGTTGTTGTTGTTGTTGTTGTTGTTGGAGGTAAAACGACAGGCGAATGTCAGTCTCAAACAGTTGCTTCGATCATGGTCTTTCACGTGTGAGGCTCAAAGGCAGTGAGGCCTGTGTGGGCTTGGAAGCAAACGAGCTTTTAAAGCAAATCAGAGCTGTTTATGTGTTCTTTTTGGCACAAGAACGCCTTGCTTGGGCACCATCCCTGCACAGTTGGTGATGAGGCTTTGTTTTTACGCGTTTATGTGCTCAAGAGGCCGACGAATATCGAGATCTTCATCGCCTTCGAAGGCATCTGCATAGGGGTAGAGAGGTCGGTAATCGTTTAGAGCATGTTTGGAGCTGTTCCGAATCGACAGTGCAAATTCTTTATATGGCACTTGTCCTATTCTCAAGCAAGCGATACTTGCATTAGTTTCTGTCTGCTTACTGTAAAACGCCCTGTCATGTAGCGATGGTGGTTCTTAGCAATGGCCTTCGCTGCTTGTCCATTTGTGCATTGGTCCTAGCATGCCAAAGGGGCTCGTTGTTTGCTGCTGTCAGAATAAAGGACAGGGATAGGCAGCAAATCTTAATCCATATTACAGATCCGCAGCTTGGGATGCTGAACATGTACAAAAAGCCAGAGGATTGGAAAGCAGAAGAGACAATGCTGAGCAAACTGGCTGCCAAGGCAGCGAGTTTCAAGCCGAACCTCGTTTTTGTCGGAGGGGACATGCAAAACTGGTGGCCGAATGAAGAAGCCCGCCAGGCGAAAGGTCTTTCAGACAGGAACAGACTCAAAGGAATGGGAGACAAAGAGTTTCAGCAGCTCAAAGACAAGGGATTAGGGCGGATGCAGAGAGATTCTGTCCAGAAGTCCCTTGAAGTCTTGGTCAATGCTAAGATTCCAGTGTACTACACAGCAGGAAATCACGACGTTGGTGATTACCCCGATGCAAGAACGCTTGAGCAGTACTCTTCTTCAGACAGCAAGAACCCCGGGTGGGGGCCTTTGTTTCAGAAGGTGGAGGAGGATGGCATCTTATATCTGCAGTTCAACTCTCAGATCTACTGGAGTAATGAGGCCTCCTTGGATGAGTACCGCTCGAAGCAACTTGACTTCCTCGAAGGTGAGATGAGTAGAATCCAAGCGCTTCAAAGCATCAAGCGCTTGGTTCTCTTGACCCACATCCCTCCATTCATGGATTCAGTGGACGAGCAGGAAGGTTGGGCCAACTGGAAGGAAGCCTACCGGAAGCAAATCTTGGATGTGTTGGCAGGGCCCAACATACCCATGTTGTGGGTTTGCGGTCACTTTCACGCCAATGTGGAGAAAGATTCCGACTACCAGGGGGTTCCACTGAGCATTCGTGTGTCCAGTGCGGCTGGAACCACCATGCAGTGGGACGGGAAGGATGAGCTTTCACCGAAGGAAGCTCAAGAAGTCGCCTCCAAGGAGATCCTCAAAGCGTTTGCCGAGGACATTGGCTTCACGCGGATTGGCGAACGCTTGAAGGCGGAAAGTGACCGCTCCGGCCTGCGAATCTTTAAGATGCTTGGTGACAGTGGCAGTTTCGAAGACCAATGGTTCACCCTTGATCAACTTCAGGAAGAGGCCTCCTCATGGCTGGCAAGCTGACAGCTAGCACAGCTGGTAGATCTAGTAGCACAGGTAGCAGTCACAGGAAGACTTGTACTGGCTGCATACAGTAAAAGGAATCTTTCACTGGTCGAATCAATCAAATTATAGATGTTGCAAGCAGGCACTCTGCTTTTCATAAGTTGTAAACTGGTGAACTTGCACACGCTTCAACAGAGACATGCTTTTGATTGATCAGGTCCATGATGTTTGACGGTCCACTGGATGCAGCCGGCCAAAGGATTGCTTTTCAACTGTTTGCTGGCACGTGAAGTTTCTGGTCGTTTGACTCTAAAACTGCGTTGGTTGTTCAGGGCTTTTGTGTGTTGAAAGGTGAGCTTCGGTGCATCCGGCGTACGCACTGAGGCAGCAATGGCGCGCATCATTTGCATCTACCAGCCGAAGAGGATTGAGGCGAAGAGGGGGTGGTGACTGCAGTGTCTCTTGGTCGGTGGCTTGTTCGGGCGAATCAGCGAACACCATTATGCCTGGAATATGTTTAATGCGCATTGTGGACCTTGAAGGTGCATGCACACCTGCACACCACACTGAATACTTCAACACAGTTGAATGGGTCACCCGCGGTCACGCCTGTAGTGACTGCAGTGCTTCTCGCCGCAGGAAACTAGCTGCCCAGTGCTTGAGGCGACGGGGCCTCTCCCGCGAAGTCTATATAGCTTTTCCAGAACACGTGAGGTTCCTCGCGTTGTGGACGGGCACAAAGCCCGCCTAACCTTTGGAGAGTCATATCACCAAAGTTCGAAGAAAGCAAATGCGAGTCATTCACAACGAGCTTCTACTTCAGCTGAAGCTATGGACCACTCCATTCAGGCAGAGAATGCCTTGGAGAAGGCGGAGGAGCTGGACTGGACAGGTGGATCCACAATGTACACTGCGAAGCACTGCGAAGCACTGCGAAGCACTGCGAAGCACTGCGAAGCA